GTGTGTGTGTGTGTGTGTGTGTGTGTGTGTCTCGGCGGCTGTTGGGTCCAACCGGGCTCCCAGCGACCCCGTGCATGTCAGAGTAGAACTGCGCTCCACAGAGTTCCCCGTGGCTCATTTCTCAGAAGGAGATCACCAGACCTTTCTTCCGAGTCACCTCTGGGCCAAGTCCCACATCTCACCTTCCAAGTAGCAGCGGCGCGCCGTTGTGCTGTTTCAGCGACAACATCCACAGCCACCTCGCAAAGGCGATTTGACGAGTCTGACTCCACGGGCCGGGGATGGTCCCCTGCGCTGGGCTGGGCAGCGCTGCCCTTCGAGGGTTGAGGGCTTCAGCAGGTATGATGTTCAATGTTGTCCTAACCAGACGTCTTGTCTGCTCTTCCTTCCCCTTGCCAGCCTCTGCCCAGTGGACCAGGCCTGCCCAAGGGAGCCCGTCGATTTCCAACATGAGCTCCACGGCTCTGGCAGACACCACGCTGGACGAAAACACGTATAACTATTATCTCTATGACTATGCTTATAAGCCTTGCACCAAAGAGGGGGTCAAGGCCTTTGGGGAGCTCTTCCTGCCCCCGCTTTACTTCTTGGTCTTTCTTTTTGGTCTGCTTGGAAATGCGATGGTGGTTCTGGTTCTGTGCAAGTACAAGCGGCTCAAGTCCATGACTGACGTGTACCTGCTCAACCTTGCCCTCTCCGATCTGCTCTTCGTATTCTCCCTTCCTTTCTGGGCCTACTACGCTGCCGACCAGTGGGTGTTTGGCCTGGGCCTGTGCAAGATCGTCTCCTGGATGTACTTGGTGGGCTTTTACAGCGACATCTTCTTCATCATGCTCATGAGCATCGACAGGTATCTGGCCATTGTGCACGCAGTGTTTTCCTTAAGAGCCAGGACCCTGACTTACGGGGTCATCACCAGCCTGGTCACGTGGTCAGTGGCCGTCTTGGCCTCACTCCCAGGCCTCATTTTTAGCACTTCTTATACAGAGCACAACCACACCTACTGCAAAACCTCCTACTCTCTCAACTCCACCGCGTGGAAGGTCCTCAGCTCCCTGGAGATCAACGTCCTCGGGTTGGTGATCCCCTTGGGGATCATGCTGTTTTGTTACTCTAGCATCATCAGGACCCTGAAGCACTGTAAAAACGAGAAGAAGACCAAGGCGGTGAAGATGATCTTCACCGTGGTGGTCCTCTCCCTTGGCTTCTGGACGCCTTACAACATTGTGCTCTTCCTGGAGACCCTGGTGGAGCTTCAAGTCCTCCAGGACTGTGCCCTTGAAAGACACCTGGACTACGCCCTTCAGGCCACAGAAACCCTGGCGTTTGTCCACTGCTGCCTCAACCCCGTCATCTACTTCTTTCTGGGGGAGAAATTTCGCAAGTACATCATCCAGCTCTTCAAAACCTGCAGAGGCCCCTTTGCGCTCTGTCAGTACTGTGGGTTCCTCCAGCTCTACTCGGCCGACACCCCTAGCTCTTCGTACACACAGTCCACCGTGGACCACGACCTCCACGAAGCCCTGTAACCAGCCCACATGCAAAAGCCAGCGCTCAGGGCCTTCCCGTAGGAAGACCTTACGTCCAACGGTCTGTTACTAAGACCTCCTCGACTTTGCAGCCACAGCGGAGTTGGGCTTCTGCCCCTGAAGTTCGCTTTCCCTCTTCCAACGTGCAACGTCAGGTTGGCCAGAGCCACCTGGACTCAGACCCCCTTCTGCATCTCGGGCTTGCCTGCGGGGGTAAGGACGTTCCAGAAGACCTCCGAGGAGTGTTCTAATGAGGTCAGAATTCCTCCTGAAGACCAGCTCTTTGGAACCGGAACTCAGGGTTCTGCCCCGCTCAGGGAGATGGTTGAGTCAACGGCTACTTTCTTCTGTGAACAAGAGTTCTCACATGGATCCCTAACTTTTTTTGTTGTTGTGAAGTAACTGTTGAAGATTTTGGCATGCCATCCTAGTGTGACTTTCCTAACGGTATCTGAGGCACGCTGCAGGGCATGAAATCAGGTAGATGCGGAAAGAACTGGTCATGAACTTTGATCTTGATTCTTTTCTTGTGAAGGATTTTGTGTATCCTCATTGTAAGTTGCTGCCAAACTTTCCATGCTGTTTACAAGTGGAAGGCGAGGGAGGTGGGAGTGGTCTGATCTCCTGCCACGGAGCAGAGGGCTTCAAACTCGGGCAAAGTTGTGGCAATTCACCCCCAGTGTCATTTGCTTGTAGGTATGATTTATGTCAACGATAACGGATATATATGTAAAATTCAAAACTAAGACCTAGGCCTCCAAAATTCTTTCCAGGTCTTTGTTTATCACCAGGGCCTGCAAAATTGAAATCTATATAAATATACGGAGGACAAATCAAGTAGGACCCTGCCACCTGAATCATCTTGAAATGCATGCCTTTAACGGAGGTAAGAAGCATCAAACCGGAGTTACGCTGAGGTGGCGTTACAATGACTCAAAAGAGGGTATGAAACTGTAAACAGTGTCACCAAATCTCTAACACGCTGGCCTTGTTTTTTAACATTTGGGTGACTCACGGTTTTCGTCAGTCATTTCTTACAAGTCATTTTAATCATCTAATTAACCATTTTACACCATATAAGATAAATTGCTATCTCCGTCCTTCTGACCTTCATTAATCAGAACTAAGTAGAAATGTCTACTAAGCCTTCAGAGACCTCTAACTGCCCCCACCTCCCGGCCTCCCCGCGCCCCCACCCCAAAGCAAAAACCTATCTTGCAAGCTATTAGCTGAATGAATGTGTCTAAGACGCCTCTATTTGTTTACATATTATGGCATGAAAACGAATGCATTTCCAAAAAATGTATTTTCAGAAACGTGGCTTTCCAAGGGAAAGTTGCTGTTGCCTTTATAGAAATAAAAGACATTAAATGTGTCTGCAGGCGCACGGAGCCTTGTCTTCTTGCTAGAGTTTGGGTTGTTTGGGTTGGGATCTCGTGGTCGGAATGAGAACCCCTGCTGCTGAACCCCCCATGGCTTGGGCGCAGGTGTCAATGTCATGGCCTTGTCCAAGGGGAGGGATCCCTGGGCCTGTGGTCTAGGAGCCGCTACCCACTGCAGTGCACTAACTAGGAGACACACGTAGATAAGGAGATGGAGGTAGGGGGGATTCTGAGGCGGGGCCTCTTTGTCAGGATCTACTAGATCCTTCCAGCACCTACATTTCAGAGTGATTAAAAGAAAGAAAGGAGACGATTAAGGCACAGGTTGAGAACCACTGCTCTAGGTGAATAGAGTCCAGTGGCGTCTCAAATGGCCACTTGCAAGCATTTAAGATCCTTTTAAGACCCACTAGACAACAATCGGGGACAGAAGCACAGAACGCATTCAACCAGCGGTTCTCAACCCGTGGGTCACCCAACTCATCACAGTAGCAAAATCACAGTGATGAAGTAGCCACGAAAATAATGTTATGGTTGGGGGGTCAGCATCACACGAGGAACTGTGTGAAAGGGTCGCGGCATGAGGAAGGTTGAGAACCACTGCATTAAACCAATGAATAGGGCTGTCTCAGGAAAGCAGGACCCCCGTCGTCCAAACCAAGGCATCCAATCCCATGAGGTGTTTGGTTGGATGGAAGCAGCCTCAGCAGTTACACTTTTTTTATGTTACTGTTGTAAGTCTATCTACCAACCCACATTGCTAATTTAAATGTTCATAGGCGTACAACTTACTGACAGCGATTACAATACCTGCCGTGCCACCCAGCTCCCACGCGGTGTTGTTGCTATTGTTGCTTGCAATTACTGTTATGCCTCCTCTGCCCTCCCTTCTGCCCTGGGTCATCGTTGTTGGTTGCACAGAGTCGGCCCCACGTTCCAGCGACTTTCTGTACGATCACACACCACCCTCGCAAGGACTCCTAGGTTTGCGTCCAACATTGCAGCCGCGGTGTCAATCCGTCTCGTTTTCACAGGCCCTCTATTTTACTAGGCATGTCCTTCTCCAGGGATGGGTCCCTTCTAATATCCAAAGTAGTAAGCCTGACAAAGGCTTGCCAGCCTCACTTCGAAGGGGGGTTCTGAGAAAACGAGGGTCATCACTCTCAGCAAAGGGGTCGAACGACTTGAGGTGCTGCATAGTGGGCATACAAACGATTGATTCCTTTTCCTCATGGACCGAGGAAGACAGAGGCGGTGGGAGACGGAGGGCGGGGGTAGAGAAGGGCTGCTGCTCCGTAACTGGGGCGCTGCTTGGACCTTTTGTTGTGAAGAGTGCCGCCCTGCACGTTGCTGCGCAGGTCTCTTTTCAAATCCATTGCTTCCGAGTGTGTTGGGTGGAATTTGCTAGGACACATGGTAGTTTCATTCTTAGTGTTCTGAACAACGGTCGCACTGTCCTCCCCAGTGGCTGTACCAGTTTCCTTTCTTACCAGCATTGGGTAAGAGGGCTAATTTCCCAACGTCCTCACCAGCGTCTGCTAATTCTGGGTTTTGTTGTTGCTGCTGCTGTTGTTTTTAATCTTCGCCATTCTAGTAGGAGTGAAATGGAACCTTAGTGTGGTTTTGATGAAAATCTCTGTTGACTCTAGACGCTGAGCCAAGTTTCATATGTTTGGTGGCCATTCGAATGTTCTCTTTGGGGAGAAGTATCTATTCAAGTTCTTTTTAAAAAAAAATAATTTCATTGGGGGCTTGTACAACTCTTATCACAATCCATCCACCCATTGTGTCAAGCACATTTGTACATTTGTTGCCGTCATCATTCTCAATACGTTTTCTTTCTACGTGAGCCCTTGCTACCAGCTCCTCATATTCCCCTCCCTCCTCTATTCAAGTTCTTTGTCCTCTTTGTGATTGAGTTAGTTTCCCTTTTCTTATGATTAAATTATATATTATGTAATATATGTATAATTTGGTTATTAGATTCTTATCAGACATGTGGTTTCTGAGGTCATTCTCCCGTCAGTAGCTTGTCTTTACTTTTTTGGTAGTCCTTTGATAAAAGTTTTTTATTCTCACGAAGTGCCATGTGGTTGTGTTTGTGCGTTTGTTATATGTGCAGAAGGCGTGGCATCGTGGAAAACTAGGCCTGCTCGTGTGGGCCCTGCTTGTTCTCCTATGAGTGGTGTGGGTTTCGTTTTCACATGTAGATCCTTAAATCCATTGCATATGGCGTGAGGCATAGACCCTGTTTGACTTTCCTGCACATGGAGCTACATAGTTTTCAATAGCTGATATTTCAGACGCAGGTCAACAAACAGGCTTCTTATCAAGAGGTGCTTCTGCGTAAACATGAAGTCAACCTTCTGGTTAGCAGTGCTAACCGTTCGCACCACCCACTCAGGCACTTTCAAAGAGGTTTTACTTCCCTTTATTTCCTATCACGTACATGGTGAAGTCAGGGCCACAGGGTTCCCATTCTTCGGTCTGAGGGTCTGAGGGTGGGCGTCTTCCTTTGCCTCAAGTCACCCGTCTTTGTTCCAAAGATGAGGGTGTTGGAAGTGGGGTGGGGATAGTGGAGACTTCTGCTGGCATGCAAACAAACCCCTCTGAGAACGCCAAGAAGAGCTTCTTCTCATTCACGATCAAACACAGTGAATAAGCCAGCATGATTTCCACACCAATATCAGCCTTCACAGTAGACGAGTCCCTTCCTCGTTGCAGCACACCTAGTTCCCGGAGGGCTAGTCTTTCTTTTCTTAAGAATAGTGGAAGTCGCTGAGTCAGCCCCACAGTGGTGGTGTTAGGTCAGCCAGTTCTGACTCCTATTGGTCCTGTGGCCATCAGCAGGAGCCGTTTCCCGTGCCCTCCTCACAACGATGATGTTTTGGCCAGCTGTCTCAATCACTGGCATTCCATCTCACGGAGGGTCTTCCTGGTTTTCCACTGCCCTCACGTTTCCCAAGCATGATGGCATTTTCCATGGACTGGTCTCTCCCGATAACATGTCCAAAGAGCACGAGACCAAACCTTGCCATTCTCACATCTAAGGAGTTTCGGGCAGTACTTCTTCCAAGACGGATCTGTTGGTACTTCTGGCCCACCATGGTACCTTCAATATTTTGTGCCAATACCATAATTATAATGCATAACTCCTTGGTGGTCATCCTTACTTATTGTCCAGCTCTCACCCGCAAATGAGGCGACTGAAAATATCAGACTGGGCCAGGGACACCCAGTGCTCAATGTGACCTCTTTGCTTTCCGGCTCTTTCAGTGGGTCTTGAGCAGCAGTCTTGTCCAATGCAATGAGTCGTTTGATTTTTTGACTGCTGCTTCTAACAGCATTGACCTTGAATCCGAGTTTGTAATCTGCTGAGGGAAAACACAAACACAAGATTAACTATACTCCAAGCAAGAACGATTTAATAACAGTGGCAACACTGTGTGTGTGGTTTGTTGTTTTTTAGTAATCTTTCTTTTTGGGGGGGGGGGGCTCATACAGCTCTTATCACAATACATACATGTATCCATTGTGTCAAGCAGCAACACTGTCTTTTAAGACTGTGGAGAAAGGAGAAGCCGATTCAAATCCAGTTTTCCATAATAGGACTGGTTT